TTGAAAAAAACAAATTTCCGCCTATGGGCGGGGCGGCCGCCTATGCGGGTTCCGTACCTCCTTAGCAAGGCGCAGGCCCTGGGCAGCCGCCTAGGTTGGTTTCGTACCGCCCAGATTGGCCGCCTAGGCCTAGGCGATACGCCCAGGCCTTCTGGACTGCCTAGGCGCTAGGCGGTCCGCTTTTTGAATCACTGCTTTCTACCTTATTGCAATTGAAACATTTTTTAAAGAATTCATGTACCCAAGAGATATTCTTATCTAATCAATGTTTCTTTCGAAGTGTCTCAAATTTCATGCCTTTTTTGTTGTACAAAATTGAGGGGTGTATTTGGAAGTTAAATGGTAAATAGATGAAGGGCCATGACATAATTGTGGTTAGGTTTCCTAAGGAGAAAATTAGGTTTTTGGGTTTTTCTTCAATAAATATATAAATTTTGGATGAGAAAAATAGAGGGAAAAATTTGTGTTGAGACTTGTAAAAAGATATTTTTGGGGTTGTAGACACGCCTCTTAGAAATTCTGGGAATCCTAATAGCCAGAATTTTTAGGGGTTGTCTACAGTTGCCTCTTTGCCATTTCACCTGGGACACAAGTGAATGGCAAAGCAGTCACCAGAGACATGATGGAAAGAAATGGGGTCATTCTTTTGAAGGGCAAGTACCAAGGGGGTACACTGATGGATATTCTGATCTGTAAGTTATTGAATTGGCGCTACGTTATCTTTGAGGGAGTGGTGGGGAGAGGTCTTTGACAACCGGGATCCGAAGTGACAGTTAGTAGAAACTGTGCTATCTTTGAGCCGGTGACTTCTTCTTATTGAGGTCACCCCATTGCTACCTAGGACGCTAGTGTAGTCATCTTCGGCTTTAGACATTTACATTTGTGCATGGTTTTCAATTGAATGGGATTTGAAATTTGAAGAAGAAATGATTGGTGGTGAATTTCTGACTAATTGAATTTCTTTCCACCTTTTGATTCTAAATTCTTAAGAACCACTGGTTCAGGTTGAGGTTTTGGCAAACTATGGGTTGTTCTTCCTAAAATATCGTGTTTATCTAAGGATTTCAGCCTATGCTTCACGACTTTCAGAGAAGGTGCAAACACGGAAACATCATGTATGGGCTTGTCCAACTCCTTCGTTTTGGAAAATATTTTTAGCAATTTTTTAAACAAATAGGATTTTTTGAAAACAGTACCAAGTGCCTGGACATATGATTTTAAGAAAGAAATTAATATTTTTTTAAAAATCACTGACACATAGGGGAAAGTTTTTTAAAAGAGAGAATTTTGAAAACAGGTTGGTAAGTAGTTTAGGCTCATGCTAGCATGGAGTTTCTTTTCGAATATGAGCTTGCCTAGCCTTTGCTTTGGACCTTTCAGGACGAGGGTTCGTGAAGTACTCCCTCATTTTCCAATCTTGGCTCTTGTATCACAACTCAAGGGAGAGTTTTCTAAAGTTTTTGAGCAAGCCAATGTTTTGGATAGTACATGATATTGCTCCTGAGTGCTTAGAATCTCCTTGTACTTCCAATTTCGTTTATCCACCACCACTCATTTGAAGTTCAAATAGTTGAGAGCCCTCAAGTTTACCTAGACTGATGCTTTCAAATTTCTTTCTCTTTCTGACACCATTTTGACTTCTCTTCAGAAGTTGAGAAGAATTTCTAAGGATATTGGAGAAGAGACAAAAAGAGATATATATATTTTTTTATCGATCCCAAGGTCCCTTTCAAGTGGTCATCCCGATGGCCTTTTTTCCAACGCTCCGGGTTGGCGGGTTTCTTTTAGATTTTCTATCCACAAACCTTTTTTTTTAACAACTTTTGAAGGGACAAAGGAGGAGAAGAGTCGAGTCATTGGTGTTTTCTTCTTATTGCGGCACTTCGCCCAAGAAACAAATAAGAACTCGATCATCCTTCCCTCTCCATAGGGCATGGAGGTTCCAATCTTGGTTATATTTAGATTTTCCTTGCCCTTGTTTGATATCCTACACTTCCTTGACAAAGTTTACTGAATTCCTGTTGAATCTTTCTTTCTTGAATTGCTTCCCTTCAAACTTGGAACTCTCAGCCTCCTAGTCCTTCAATCTCCTACTGGGTTGGCTGAACTCATTTCTTCTTTTTGCTTTTTCATTTTTATTCATATATTTTTTTTCTTATGACTCCTTAGGTCGTTAAGGTCGTGGAGTAGGGCGCTTAAAGCAGAGCCTGGATGCCCCACTTCATTTATTTAAGAGGGAGGAGGAAATGATCACCCTATCCCTTTTTGGTAATTTTTTCCATTTGCAACTTCATGTAGGCCTTGTAGATCTAGATAGGGTCAAATTTCTTAGCATTTAGGGTGGACTCACTTGCAGACTAGAGAGGGGGTATATTCTTTCATCAATTTATTTTTATTGTTATTTTTCTAGTTTGTTTATTTTCTTTCTACTTGCATCTACATCAACTATGGATTTGGCATGGACTATGAATTTTCTAAGGGATATTTGTTATGAAGATTCAGAGTTTTACGTGATTATGATTTGAGTTCAGGTACGGTTAAAATATAATTTATGTCCGAGATGTAACATTACTTTTTACTCTCTTTTACCTAGTAGTGAACATGTGGCGAAACTTCCTACTGCGGACCTACCCTAAGAAGGCGGTTTGTGGTTTAAGCGTTTCTATATAAATATGTTTAGTAAAATGGCTCGATACCTTCCTCCTTGAAGAGATCTTCACTACAGTTTGTTTTGTGCATGTTATGAATATCAGATTCTTAATTGGATATTCGAATTGTTGACTTGGTTTGGAGAATAAATCTTTTGCACTGGAAACGTAGTATCAATTTGCTGGATAACCTTTCATTTTGCGCCCATTTCACTTTCTGAGTTGGCCTGTAGCAAGAAGACCAGCAAAAACTTTAGTGTAAAGCATCATATGGAGTACTTTGTTTAGGCCTTCAAATGATTGGGGTGGTTCTTCTTCTTCTAAAGGGATTGATGGTTGTGGGGGTTCAATTCTCAAGCTCAATAATAAATATAGAGGACATAAATGCTTAGTTGAAACTTCATCTGGATCTCACATCAGGTCCTTGTTGTGATGCCAACTCATTATAGATTCCAAGTGGTTTCGTGATAACTGTACTCCTGGACATTTCCATCTTAGAGAGGAGTTCTGAGGTAGGAATGTCCAAGAGTACAGTGATAAGTCCACAAGCCACAGTTTGAATGTCCATTGACGTTCGTTGCATCAATATAGATTAATAATGGTGTACAACATTATTTGGTATGGAACCAAACTTAATAGAAGTTAGAAGGTTAGCTGGAAAGCGATCTGATTTTGTAGTGTGAGAGGATTAGTCCTAATGGAGATGGCAGCCTCTGGGACAGATAATTATTGAAAAAGTAATAGTTGTTGGAGGCAGAAGTGGGTTCGATAGCGAGATCAGTTCAGGTAACTCTGAACTGCCATAGGGTAGAAGCTTGCTGGGGTTAGGATCACTGTCCATACATTCAACCAGTTAAGGAGCTAGATCCTAGGATACTTGGGAGTGTGGTCCCATTTCACTGGAATTGAGGTTTTGGCTTGGAGGGATCTAAGTTCCACTATACATAAAACAAAATCAATTAGTAGTATATGATAAAATTACGATCAATGTCTACTCGAACCATTATCACACACCTCAGTTTATTACCAATACCATAGTTATAATACTCCAATTTAATATAATAATACAATTTAATAATATATTATAAATTGGCTTACTATGATATTAAATTATAGTTTTTTAATACTATAATTCTAGTATATCACAATGTGAGATGCACTACAATTTAACATATACTAAAGACATAAATATATACGACTATACTACCAAGGAGAGGAGCAGTAGTTCAATCAAAAGTATAGCTCCTCTCCATGGAGGGATCCAATGAGTATGTAGACGGAGATCCCATTTTATAGGGAGCGAGATCCCTATTTCTCCAAACCAAGTTCCCTCTAAGTTCCTTTATGGGAACCGCTGGAACAAGTTCCTGAGGTGGGACCGTCACCTTACCCCCAGGTTCCCGCACCTATGGAAAAAATTGTTGGTTATTTGACTATAGTTTTGAGAATGCCTGCATCCTGATGGAAACTTTTATGGTTTGAGTCTAGGTTCCTGAAGCCTTGAACATAACTAGAGGTTTTCCATTCTCTGGGATAATTCAAGGATTCTAAAACCGGACCGCCCGACACTTAGCAGCCCAAGATGGGCGGATGTACCTGGGCGGGTGCCCAGGGCAGTGGGCCCTTTTCCGTTTTTTAAGTTGCCCAAAAGGGCAGAAGGCTTCATTTTGACCCCAAGATAGTATAAATATGTTATGGGGGTTATTTTTAGCCCCCAAAAGTTTTTTTTTTTCTTTTAAAAAAAAAACCTCAATCTCTTTGCTACACCTTTTTCTGAGAATCGAAATTATTTTGTGGATTAAAAATTTTTCCTAAACTTTTATTCTCATTTAAATTATTTTCGTATGATTTGAATTTTGAAATTTTGAACAAGTTTATTCTCAACATGCGATATGTCATATGTTTGTATATAAAAATGTATCTTACAATATTTTCAAATGCAATACATACAAAATTGACACAAATATATGCATATATGTGCGTTTGGACAACAAATATATGTATATCTCTTAAAAATTTGTACTACAGGCCACCCGAGGTTTTGGGGGCCTGCCTGGGCATTGGGCGCCGGGCTGGCCGCCTAGCGTTTTTTAAACCTTGCTGGGATAATTGAATTAGGTGCATGTAATGCTAATGCATTGAAAGGTGTGTTTGGACAGTTACATGAAAGTTTGGGATGTTTGGATCTGGTCTAGAAATTTTATTTTTCTTTCCTCTTGGACTTTTTTCTATGTTTTTGGCTAGTTAACTTTTTACCATTCGACATATTTTTGATCAGGAGTTTTAACACATTATCACTCTATGGTCTTCTACTAATCCTGCATCTGATTTGTGCTACTTGGTACTCAACAGGTTGAAGAGCTTTACTCCTTAGATCTGGATTCCCTCAACTGTCTTAGGTACACCTATATCTTGAACAGACTTTAGTTCAATTTACTACTTCCCCATCGCTTTGGCAATTGAAACTCTTTGATGCATGATATTGGTAGTGACATTACAGGCCTGTGTATGGTCTGATATTCCTTTTCAAATGGAGGCCAGGAGATACAGATCAAAGACTTGTAATTAAAGATCACAGCCCAAATTTATTTTTTGCCAGCCAGGTAAATTGGTCTTGTGCCTCTGAACATAACGAGAGAGCATGTAATTGCCTGCATAGATCATACAGGTGGCCCAGATGGCAACAGTACCTGGGCTCACTTTTTTCTCCCTAAAATGACTATTTTAACTCTGATCTGGTATTCAAGAGATCAGAAAATAAGGGAGAAAAGGTAAACTGGAGGTAAATTATATTTAAAAGGATTTTTTGGTCCTTTTACTTATTTCGAGTTTGCATGCTACCCGCATGATTATGCAGGAGTTTAAGGTACTGATGTCAATATTTTCCCGTTATGATCTCACTTTCATGGTCTAATTTGCCAATAATGTTTACAGGTAATCAACAATGCTTGTGCAACCCAGGCAATTCTTGCTATCTTACTGAACTGCCCAGAAATTGACATTGGTCCTGAGCTCTCGATGTTAAAGGAATTTACGAAGAATTTCCCGCCTGAGCTAAAAGGATTGGCCATTAACAATAGCGAAGCAATTCGCACAGCTCACAACAGTTTTGCTCGGCCTGAGCCCTTTGTGGCCGATGACCAAAGACCTGCTGAAAAAGATGACGATGTGTACCATTTCATAAGCTATCTGCCTGTTGATGGGGTCCTTTATGAACTCGATGGATTAAAAGAAGGCCCCATTAGCCTTGGAAAGTGCCCTGGAGGAAGAGATGGTTTGGAGTGGCTTCAAATGGTTCAACCAGTGATTCAAGAACGCATAGAGAAGTATTCAAAAAATGAGATTAGGTTTAACCTTATGGCTATCATAAAGAATAGGAAAGAGATTTACACAACCGAAGTTAAAGAGCTCCAAAAGAGGAGAGAGTATATCACTCAGCAGCTTGCGGCTGCTCAACCGGAGAGATCGGGGGGGAGAACAGATTTGAGTACCCAAACTGGTGTGATTGAAGGGCTAAAGAAATCTCTTGCAGATGTGACCTTGGGTATCGAGAGTGTGACTGAGAAGATATTGATGGAGGAGGAGAAGTTCAAGAAGTGGAAGACTGAAAACATAAGGAGGAAGCATAATTACATTCCCTTCCTGTTCAATTTCTTGAAGATATTGGCTGAGAAGAAGCAGTTAAAGCCTCTTATTGAGAAGGCAAGGCAGAAAACGAGCACAAGATGAGAGGTAAGTCTCTCTAGTTCTTATGATAAAGCTTTAAAGGTATGGAGGTTCTAGTTGGGTGTAGTTTAGGGGGATTTCTTTTGGATACCCTAGGCCCTGAACTTTCTGATGTGAGAGAGTATGCGTGACAAGGGCTGCTGATAGAGATTGCTGAGGGGCACGAAAGAGGAACATTGATTTAATGCAATTGAGGATTTGATTTTGCTGCACCATCTCTGTGGTAAAGGCTTGTTAGAACCCTTAATTCCCATGTTTAAGTTGGTTCTTTGTGTATACTTTCATGGTTGGGGCCCATATTGTGTTTTACTTTCACCTTCTCTTTCTGCTCATACTTTTCCTGACCTTGCATCTCTAGAATCCCTTCTTCATGAGCCCATGTTTGGTTCGCATGAAATCTTTTTTGTGATAATATATGTGATTAGGTATGGGATTTTTCCACACCAATTGGTCAACAGCAGGAAAGTTTATCATAAAAAAAGACCAATTGGTATGAAAGATTTTCCATGCTTAGTTATATGAGGGAGTTATTTCATATGAAAATATTTTCAGGAAATTTTTTTTTTTTCATAAACTTTGATAGGAATCAACATGCCCTTATGTGGCAGGGAGTATTGAATGTGAAGGTTTCACATACAATATGTATTTGGATGTTGATCTGCACTTTCCAACTCCGTTGATGACAGTGTTTTTAGGCAACTCAATGTTAACTTACAGCGGTTTACCGCTGTTTATTATTCATTTGGAAGATGGAGATCAGCTTCCAATCACATCTTGTGAGACTTGGGGGTATGAAAATTTAAAGGAAATATGTCGTAAAGAGCAAACGAGAGATGGTAAGACAAGTTTATGGATGTGTAGGAGAGCTATAAAGAAATACGGTAAAGTGGACAAAAAAAGAAACACCTTGGAGTCTAGTCAATGGCACATACGGTAAAGTGCAAAAAAAAAAAAAGAAAAACCTTGGGAGTCAGTCAATGGCACGTTTTCAAGATTTCAAATATGATCGACAAGTAAATAGTTTCTTGGGGAAAATGCAGATGCCTCTCAAAACTAGACTTTCTTGACAACTTCCTCCCAATCAAACTAATAAACGTTTCACCAATATAAGTTGAATCTAAATAATGAAAGGAGATTACATTTCAAGTCCCCTATTGTATATAGGATAGGTGTGAGTACATGGACAAAAAATGGAGAATTATCTCTTTTTTTTTATTGTTTTATTTTTTATTTTTTATGTCGGTAAGGTACGTAAAAAGAAAAAAGACTCGAAGTATCTTTTTTTGGTTTGGCCCATGACAATAAAAACTCTGGAATTAGTGATTTTACAACTTTTATTCCAAAATTAAGTTTTATAATAAATATTCTCTCAAGTCAGAAAGTCATAATTTTTTTTGACAAAAATACTGTTTAGTAAAAAATTGACGTTTCTCAATGTGATTTGCCTATGGCTTGGCACTCTAAATAAAGGGTCTGGCAACTTGTTTGCACGGTCTGGCACATCCATGTCTCGGTCCGGCAGTTGTCGCTTGATTTGTCTTAACGCGGTCCAGCACTTTCTGTACTCGATCCGACACTTTGGCTTATATTTCTTTTGCGGTCTGGCAATCTCATGATGGGCTTTGACAGGTGAAGAGCAGTATGACAAAAGGTTCCCTTGGTTCGGCATTATTATAAAAAGCATTTTTGTCTAAAAAATTATGACTTTTTATTTTAGAGGGAAAGGGGTTGCTATAAAACTTGGTTTTGAGGTAAAAATTGCAAAAAAAAAAAAGAACAAGAAGAGAAAAGTTTGGTTGAGGGAGGTCGCCAAAAAAAAGGTATTTACAATTTTCCCTAATATCATTATATATATTTCTAAAATTATTCCAAATCAAAAGGTGACCTAATTCAGTTGTGAAAGATGATTTTTAAGATAGAATTTCTAAAAAAAAAAAAAAAAAAAGGAGCGAAAAAATTGGTTGTAGAGAGATCGATGACCCAAAGTTCTCTCTCTCCATCCGGGAGGTCCGTTTTGTGCCAACGGGAGATCTGTTTTGAGTGTGTTTTGTAGTACATATGGAAAACTCCATACAACGTCCGATTAGGCATCGCCTAGGTTTAGATGTGCATTACCTATAGAAATTGGTTCTCAAAGCTGAGTATTGCCCATGATAATTAAAAAAAGATTGAACTTATGGTAGAATGAATGGAAGGATGACAAAAAATTCACCTTAACAATTGGATGATGGAAGAGGCCCATCATCACATCCAATTGGATATGCTAATGCTAAAAAGAAAATCAGATGCCAAAGGAAGCACTCAAAAAGCCTTGCTTAGAGGAGTATAAAACTCTCTAAAGTATGATCAGGGCCAAAATAGCCAATAAAATCTTCGCTATGCACTTTGGATATTAATAGAAGAGATTGGTACTACGATATTGTAGAGGAGTGATTCTTGATTCATCGACGGCTATGGACATGCATGAGGGTCTAACCATATGTTGACACCTAATGGACACATATTCACACTTTTAAAAATATGTCCGACACTCTTATAGAGTGTCCAATAGCATTTCCCTTTTTTGGGCACATTCTACATTTGGAATTTCTTGTTTCTTTGTTTTTTAAATGATTAAGATTTTATTTTAGAAACAAGAAATGTTTTAGAATATAAATTAGTTTAAAACAGAAATACAAAATATTTTTAATTTTTTAACCAGGGTTTTTAAATATCACTATTCCTATAAATAAAAATATGCTTATTTTTATTTCATATAGCGATTAACCTTCTACGGTTTTTCCCTATTAAAGTCTTAAGCTTCTCCCTGTCCAAGTCATGGACCCATGGAGCTTGATCTCACATCTTCTTCAGCGTTTTTTTTTTTTTAACAAGAATACTTAACTTTTATTGATAATTGGATAATCAAAGTACATTGGTCAAATAAAAATCGAAGAAACAACCACATAATCAAGAGTCCCCCCTTTTTTAGCCAAGTCATTTGCAACTTCATTCGCTTCCTTTTAGACATGGTGGAAAGAGACCATAATCAAGAGTCCCCCCTTTTTTAGCCAAGTCATTTGCAACTTCATTCGCTTCCTTTTAGACATGGTGGAAAGAGACCACCAAAAGAGATACCACATCCATCACTTGCAGCCACATGAATCTGAGACGCCAACCACCAAAAAAAATACCATATCCATCGCTTACAGCCACATGGATTTGCGACGCCAAGACCATTTAGAAACAAAGGTACACTAGTTAATGATATTAAGAGATTCTCCTTCCATAATCAAAGCATTTCCCAACCCCTTTCCTTCCCAAATCAAAATTGCTTGCAAAAGAGCCGCCAATTCTGTATGATTTGCTGTCACTACTCCACATGACCCAGCATAGTAGAATATAATGTTCCCCATCCAATCTCTACACAACCCACCAATACCTGTAATTCATGGGTTTCCAATGGAAGAACCATCAAATTAATCTTCAAACTTCCGATTATCGGTGGTATCCACCTCAATCTCGGTTTAACCTTCAGAAACCAATAGGAAATAAGATTGCCCAAATTTAGGAAAACATCAATTTTAGAGATCCCAAAGCCTTCCTTAGTTACTCTGAACTAGCTCCAAACTGTATTCAAAATTCTATTTTTTAGGATCTCTAAGGATATACCATCAAAATTTCTTCTATTCTTTCTAACCGCAACTCCCAAATTATTTCCTCTCTTAATATACCCCAAATTGTGCTTCTAATTTTTGGAAAGCCCACCAATTTAAAGTCTTGCAAACAATTAATCAGGGATCCTGACATAACTAGCATAACCCCAATATAATGCATTGCCCACTGCCAAATATGATAATACAAGGGGCACAAAAGAATAAATGAGCACATCATTCTTCATCATTCTCACAAAATAAGCATATGTTAACTAACATCTTCCCCTTCTTTCTAAATTATCGAAGATCGGAGTCTTTCCCTGCAACATAACTCAAACAAAAGCTTTAACTTTCAAAAGTATCTTCTATTTCCAAATATCCTGAAGGTCCGGTTAATGGCATCTAAATACGATCATGGAAGAGCAATGAGTAAGCAGATATGACTGAAAAATTACCATCCATCTCCAATTCCCAAATGGCCTCATCATTTCCCGCCGATGAAGCAAGTCAGGCAATTGGTTAAAGACCACAAGAGGAACACAATTATAACGACAAGTGATATTCCAAAACACATCTTTACCATTAAACTCACCACAATCTCATTTGCCTTAGGCCATCTCATTCGAGCATCTATGGAACAAATCAGGATACTCAAATTTAAACGCATCCTCCGATACTCATCTTTGATGCCAGAATAAAACTTTATCACCTCTTCCCACACTCCATCTGATGTACCTTGCCATGAAGGATCTCATTGAACCAATCAATTTCCATACATGTGATTGCCTTGCACTACTTCTCCCTCTTTCAACCAGTTGATCTACTGGGTCCATCCCATAGTTTGCAAAAAGAGCCTGCTTCCATAGATAGTCCTCCTATTCTAAACATCGCCACCACCATTTAGAAATTAAAGCTTGGTTTGTATTTTTTAGTTATCGAATATCCAGACCACCCTCACCTTTTGGTGTACACACTCTTTCCCAAATCACTAAATGATATTTCTTTTGATCATCAACAGAGCCCCAAAGAAAATTCCTCATCAACTTTTCAAACTTTTTCATGACCATTGAGGGCATTACCAAAAGAGACATTTGATAAATAGGTAAATTGGAATGGAGTATTTGATTAACATGATTCTGCCACCCAAAGATAATTTTTTAGCCTTTTATAAATCCAACTTAACACGTGCTCTTTTCACATTCGGATCCCACACCTCCTTGGGCAACCTAGAATTAGAAATAGGCACACCCAAATAAGTAATAGGGAAGTGTTCAACTTCGCAATTCATAATTTCTGACATTTGATTCACCAATGGTCCATCACATAACAACCCAATTTGAAGTCTTTTCAAAATTCACTTTAAGTCCCAAGGCCACTTGACAACACCTCAAAAAATTTTTAACTTGCACAATCTCGATATGTGCATCACAAAAAATAATTGTATCATCTACATATTGCAAGTGTGAGATGATTGGGGAATCACCAGAAACTTGAAAATCACTAAACCATTGCCTCCTCACCACATAATTCAGCATCAAGTTAAAAGTTTCCCTACAAGAGTAAATAAGTAGGAGAAAGATGATCCCGTTGTCTGAGTCTCCTTGATGCACTGAAAAATCCTTTTGGACTCTCATTAGCCAAAACCGAAAAATAAGCTGAAGATAGGCATCCACTAATCCATTTTCTCCACATATT